CTATTCTGGGAACTAATTTACCAGTGGGAGGGTTTTCATGTTAGACCAATCAACAGTTTTACTGAGTTAGGTATATCAGTAGTTCCTGTAGCACAAGTTATAAAACAAAGTAGGGGTAAAATACATAACAATATTTATGACTGACCCATTTCTCAACCCATTTAAATCTGGAAGGTAGTAATAAATTTAAGATGAGTTTATACATTTGGCCTACTCATATATACAGTAAAGCCTTTCCATAAAGCTTCTTATCAAGGGAAATGTCTTAGAAAGGAAATGGAAAATTATGGGCATGGAGATAGTATATAAGATTTCTAGCCTCCCATTTTACATTTATATCTGCTTATTTGTGTTAGAAGACACAGGTACTGACAATGATACTGTGCATGTGTATAAAACGGTGAAAGAAACATATATCCTGAGCACTTTTTGGAATGCTAAGAACCCCGTGGCTTCTCCATACATTTGATGTCCTTTTTCTTAGTAAACCTGAGTGACAATGGCAATAAATCTGAAGTTTCTCATTTTGAAGGTATTAACACTGGGTTTACATCTCTGATATGGGGCCTTGTGTTCACAAGGCATTTAGTGAATATTAGTTAATAGTGGTCATTTCCTATTGAATAAAATTAAATAATATGTATGATGTAGTTTGGAGATTTTTCATAAAAACTAAAAATAAAACTACCCCATGATGCAGCAATACCACTCTTGGGAATTTAATTTAAGGATTTCTAGTCAGAATGACCCATGTTTATTGTTACATTACTCACCATAGTTATGGAAACAGTCCATACACTACAACAGATGAGTAGAATTTCATATATATGCAATTTCATTTATGTAGACCTTGAACAACTTATATTGTGAAGAAAATAAGACTCAAAGAGACAAAACAGTGCATGTTTTCTCTCCTGTGTACACATTATATCTAAAATATAAATATGTGTGAAAAGCATATTGAGAGCTATACACACACAAATACAATCAAACTGACTAAAGTATGGTATATTCAGGGGTGGATTCCAATTGTGAAATTCCTTTGAATAATTATCAGTTCGATTATGTGATTATGTGAATACCAGGAAGCTAAAACATTTTTTGTCTTGAGAGAGTGAGGCTATGGGGAAGATGCAGACCAATGGAGTGAAGAAAGGTTGGAAAACACAGTCACAATACCCAATGTAGATATGTAAGAAGAAAATTAGTAACTTGAAGGAATGGGTGGAGTTGAGATAGAAGGGAAAGAATAGTAGGTGTCATTGCTCAAGATGTTCACAAATTCACATCATATAACTACTAAAGATGATGGTAATTTGTTAAAAGCTTGAAAAAAGATTTTTGTTAGCAAGGCTCTATAGTGAAGCAAACTTGTAATACTGGTCCACAGGCAACATTAGGCGCAGCAAGCTTTGAAGGTGTTTATTAGCTTATGTATCCAGAGTATATTTACCTTTGGTTCCATCACTTTCTGTATGAGCAAGGGATGAGTTTCTTTTATCTCCTTAGCCTCAGAAAAACTGATTCTTATACTGAAACAATGAATTTTCATTTGTTGGAATGTTTGGAGGATTAACTGAATTAATGCACATAAAGCTTTTAGGAGAAATCTTTAAACATAGCAAGTACTCAATAAAATGTTAGCTTTCATTATTGTAAAACTAAAGTTATAAAATGCAGAATGGTTTGGCCTTTCTGATTTCCATTTTTGCTAATGCAATTAGATTGCATTTATTATTTCAACTAAGCAATAATGCATAGAGTTTATCCTACTCTCTGCCAGATGGAACTCCAGTTGCAGCCTGAAGTCCTATCTAAGTTTTGCTAATTTTGAAGGAAATGAAATCTACAGTGACCCTATTATGCAAATAATAGTAACATCAAACTAGGACAGAGACCTAGTTTGGAATCCTGCCTCTATTTGGATTACATGTAATTCAGTAGTTTTAAGTGCGACAATCCCACAGTTAAGAAGAACATGTACTCCTTTCTACAGCTGGTCTAACCCCCTACACACACATACATGAACACACACACACACACACACACACACACACACACACATTTCACAGATTCATGACTAGCTAGGGGCTTTCAGGAAGCAAAGGTTGCCATCATTCTTTGGCCTCCATGTGTTCTTTTGGACTCTTAAGATACCCACTGCTTTCTGCTCTTGCTTCTGGTGCCCTTTTTCCAGTTAGGCACCTCTGGCTCTCACTACTGATCTCCAAGTAATGGATTAGGAATCCTACCTAATGTTTGATTTTGGCTTAATAGAAATATGTGGCCTTTTTAATTTTTGCTCTTCTTCCAAGGGCTAAACTATACTCCTCAAATGCTTTATCTAACAAAAAAGCTAACCTTTTAAAGTGAGCATTTAAAGTTCATTTAATGGGCCATTTTCACAGATAATTTTTATCTAAGATAGTTTTAAATGAGGCTATCCATTAAATAGAATAAGCATCTAGTAAATCATCAATTGCTAATTGAGTGCTTCCCATGAGGTCAATGGTGAGTGAAGCATTGTGGGAACAAAAAGGAAGTCTTAGACACAGGAACTTAATATAGAGGATTATGATCACATACATGAGGAAGTTAGAGGCATTTCAGTATCACGATAGGCAAAACTAGTCATGAGTACCATAAAAACCTGCCCAGAATTTCTTCCTGCCCACCTTATCTCCACAAAATATCCATTCATGCTGGATACCAGTGGTTCATGTCTGTACTCCTACCTACTCAGGAGGTTGAGATCTGAGGATTGCAGTTCAAATTCAGTCTTGGCAGGAAAGTCTGTGAGACTATTCCCAATTAACCAGAAAAATAAAAGCTGGAAGTGGAACTGTGGCCTAATTGGTAGAGCACTAGCTTTGAGGGGAAAAGCTCAGGGAGAGTGCCCTAAGTTCAAGACCAGTAACAGACACAAACACACACAGACATGCACACACACACACACACACACACACACACACACACACACACACACACACATCCATTCACCTGAATTTACTCTTTGATTTATTGTATTGTATCTAATATAGTGTAAAAGTTACTGATATATTTATTCATTTTTTTGTATTTTAATGGAAGAAATTAAATTCCATTAAAATGGGGTACTTGTCTTTTGTTTATTGACTTAAGTCCCTAAAACAGTGCTTCAGAATATTGTTCATTTAACTATGTGAGTGAGATTAAATGACTCATTTGAGAGACTAATTCCAAGCTTAAACTTACATTTTACAAAGTATAAACCTGTGTTCCTTAAGCATACAAGAGAAAGTTCCTTGTTTAAATGAATACTATAAAGGGTACTTATCATCATTCTATCAAATATCATTTATTGATATTTGTCCATCAAAAAGTGAATATTAAATAGTTTATAATTGAATAGCTTATACTTGCTTTTTATGCTTTATAATACATACATCTTTGTACTTATTTTCTTATGAAATGTAAAAGTTAAGCTTTTAGTTTGAATTAAAGATGAAAGATAATGAAAATAAACTGCAGACACTTATTACATTGTCATCCCAAAAGATAAAGAAGTCTGTGCTGAGTGCATTATGCAAATAATAGTAGTGTTGAAAGAACATGAACATGGATTTCTAGAGACCTAGTTCTGAGTCTTGTTTCTAATTAGTCATGTAAACTAATAAAATCTTTGACCTCTGAGTTCTACTGTCATTAATTGAGACATGAAATTATAGCTAAATGATAATTAAATAGCAATTAACTTTGACATCTAACTTCTTAGTACCAATGCATTTTGCCCATCTCTAGCCTTGATATATTTTTTAAAATTTAACTTACATAGTTGAATTTTAATGAATTAAAAAGACATATAATGAACAAAGAAGACACCTAATAAGAAATAGGAAAGAAATCTAGTAATTAGGATAAACACTGTAGCTCTACATAAATTTTACTTTTGGTCTTTTGTGTTTGTTATTGTTGTTGATTTTGCAGTAGAGAGAGTTAAACCAGGTCAAATCTTCCAGAAATCTGACTCTATTAATTTAAGGTATTATTTTTACTCATGAGTTTCCCTAGTGTGGGGAAATCTTGGGAGTATTAAATTTGGAGAAATAAGCCATACATTAAGGACATTTGCTGTAACTCTGAAGGAATGGGATTTTCATAAATGAAACAACAACAATAAAAATTATTACTGAAGAGGAGCTAACACACAAAAATTCCAGTCTATCTGAGATAATGATTCAGCACAAGAAGAGTTAGCAAAGCAAACAGTTTAAATTCCAAGAGTCTAAACTATAAAAACTGAAGACCATAAAAATGTATTAAAGAAGTAATATAAATCATTATGTAAGAAGACCATAAATTGCTTTTAAAAACATACTTTTGGATGAAGGATCTTTTTTGAGGAATAAAAATACAATAATTGAACTTAAGAAAACTTAAAGAAAAGGAGTAACATACTCCTGACTTACTTTAAGGGAGAAATTTTCTATGAAGAAAAGAAAGGGATGAGACAGACAAAAGTATAAAAAGATAAAAACAAGTATGAGACAAATTTAGAGATCAGAAGTAAAGCCTAATAACAGTAGAAATGATTAACTTAAAAATTTATATTTAGATGATGCTAATCAAAATTTACTCCAAGATATGGAAACAAAAGGCCTCACTTGTTGATCTTGTTGTATCAAGGTTTTTTTCTTTTTCTTTTCTTTTAGATTTTTCCACTCTTTTTTCCCCAGTAGTCATTGTTTTTTATTCTGGTACACTTGATCTTGTATATACATTTATCTGATTTGGGGAAGGGAAGGAGAATAACAAAATGGAGAAGCAAGAACAAAGGATGACCGAATGCAACAATGATACTCACAAGACACTATGTGGGAAATGAATTTTACAATTTTGATAGAAGGGAGAGGAGTGGAGGGAGGGATGTTGGGGGATAAACAAAGGAGTGGTTAACAATGTTCGACAAGTAATGATGCACTTATTACTTTATTTATGAAACTTTAAGAATACCTCTGTACAGCACCTTTACAACCAAATAAAATATAATAAAATTTTTGTATTTAAGAAAAAAAATAAAAAAAAATAAAAAATTTATATTTAGAAGAATTTAGAAAGTGAATAGAAAGAATGAAGAAAATATTCAAGCTACTAAACATAAAGTATTTTATGGAATAAATGAAAGATATGAGTTTTTAGATTCAAGGAAGAGAAAAGTCCTATAGATTTCTAACTCTAAGCATGAAACAGTAGCTTGACTTTTCCATTAAAAATTATATAAAATTACATAAGTAACCAAGATCTGAAGCCCTGCTGAATAACAAAGACACGTCTCAGGACACGTGGTTCTTTAGAGGTAGAAACACATGAGGTAAACTTCAATTCACCTCAGAAATTTTGAAAGGCATTTACCAAGTCAAGCATAAAGAAAGAGCACACTGTGGTAGAGCTTGTCTATAATCCCAGCTGGAAGGGAGATAGAGACAAAAAGATCCAGAGTTTGAGTCTAGTCTATGCCAAAAGGTAGCAAGAGGCTTTCTTAAAAGAATCTGTAAAAACAAAAGGTCTGGATGAAGATGGGGAACTAGTGGACAAGTTGTTCATTAGTGGAAGGAGAGAGGGAGAGAGACACACAAAGAGACACAGAGACAGAGACAAAGCGACACAGAGACTATGTAGAAAGTAACATAAACTGAATCTGAAGGCTGACAAAAATGGATCAGGCCTTAAGAACTAAATTCTAGACATAGAAAAGAGGAAAGTTTAACCTTAGGTTTTCAAATTCACTTCAAGTCATCAGCTAACTTCTCAGATTGGTTAGTATGCACGTTTCAAGAACCTAAGAGAAAAGCCTATAGGAGGCTGAAAAGTTGAGCAAGATTTCAGCACCCATATATATTAAGGAGAAAGTAGTCAAAACTCAATCCAAAATGAATGATGAAATAAAGAATAACAGTAATTTTAAATAATGCAGAAGTACAGAAAGACAAAACACAGGATAGCATAGCATGTGTGGAAATATAAATGGAAATTGATAGTGTGCATATGGTCATATAAAATGATGCTTACTGAAATGAACTCCAAGAAGTGGCTCTTCTTCCCCGCCCCCCCCCCCTCACACTTTGGTCACCGTTTTTGATTTCTGCACCTTTTGTCTTATATGTAAGCTTACCAGATTTGGGGAGAGGATGGGGAGCACAGAAAGAGTAGGACAAAGGGTGAACTAAGTCAGCAGTGAAACTCACTAGGCACTGTGTTGGAAATGAACTAGACAGTATGGGTGTTATAGGGCTCAGGAGGGGAAAAACTGGGAGATAATGAGGGAGGGGGATGACATTGTTCAAAAAGAAATGCACTCATCACCTGACTTATGTAACTGTATATCACCTTTACAATAAAAATAAAAAAGAATAAATCCAAGGAAAAACACTATGTAAACAAATAAACATGTAAACAAGTAAAATAAAATTTAATATTATGCATATACCTTTGTTATATTAAAATGGAAAGATACTGACTCCTTCCCATTATTTCATTAATGTCTAAAGTACATACAACAAAACGCACTGTAAGTTTCTTCTGGAATGTTCTACAAGTTTTGCCACCTACAAATTATGTGACTATCATAATCAAGAACCCAATGCCTTCTCCATTTTTCCAACTATAAACTGATGCTTCTGGAGATAATATTTTTCTACTCAGTTAGTAATCCCTGATTTGCTTTATATTTATTTGTGTTTTATACTTACTTATAATGATGTAGTCTTTAAATTTGACTTTTTCTTCCCATACTGTAAAGCCCTTGAGATATAGCCAAGGTTTTCTATGTTAGCTATTCCTTTCTGTATCAGAATTTAACAAATAACTAGTTTAGGCATTTGGATTGTTTGCATATTTGGAAATCCCAAAGAAAATTACAATCACAGATACTTATTTTTTCTCTTTTTGAATTAATGTATATTAATTGTATAAAATGGTTTCATTGTGAAATTTCCATACATGTGTATTATATACTTTAACCAATTTCCTCTCTCCATTACTATATCTTGTCTTTTCCACCTTTTAAAACATTTAATAAGTTTTATTATTCTATTTTCATATATTTCTATGAAGTACTTGGATCATTCTCACTTCATATTCTCTTCTTTTACCCTTAACCTACTTGTGGTTCCCATTCTAAAATAGTTATTACCCTCTTCCTCTAATTTTACACTGGCGTCATTTTTTTATTTAAAGTCTAGATTCTGCATATAATAAAAATACTTCTTCATTTCATTTAATACGATGATTTCCATTTCTTCCCTTTTGTCTTTGTAAATGGCAGGACTTCATTCTTTATTGCTGGATAATTCTCCTCACTTGAGTAAAAGGAACTGGAAAAATACTGAAGTTTACATTTTTAAACTTGGTTAAAAAAAAACTACTCAATTGTTTCTAGTTCTATGTCTTTGTATCCTGTACAGCAGCTAAATGTAAAGTACTTTAAAAATAATTGGTAGTAACTTACTGTGGTTTAATTTGTATTTTCCTAATGTCTAGTTTTCCTAATTTTTCCAGGTGTTTAATGGACACCTATTTTGGTTTTTTTTGGGGGGGAAGGGTCAAATGTTTGTAATTTTCTTTGTTATTAAGATATGAAGATTCTTTATATACTCTAAAAACAAATCCTTTTTCAGATAAAGGATCAACAAATACTTTTCCAAATTGTCTTTTCATTCTTTCACTAGTACTTTTCAAACAAATTCTTAATCACATTTCTTTATTTTTGCCTTTATGGGCCATACTTTTGTTGGCTGTTTGAGAAACTGTTGCCAAACCCAACTAGCAGGGGTTATTTTTCATTTTTTCTCTATATATTTTATAGTTTTTGGTTAGTGAAGATAATATAATTGGATAATAAGATCCAGAGGCTTAAAAAATACTGCCGTTTGTTTTGTTTCTTTAACCTGTGTGGTATTTATATAGGTGCTGGCTTTATTATTATATTCTGAATATTGTCTATCTATACATCTGTAGGTGTGTTTGGTTTAAATTTTGAAAAAATGTAAAGAAAACAAACATGACTGAAATCTGACATCCATTAAAAATTTAACAAAAATCTGCAATGGCAAAAGTTAATGGCAAAAGAATTGCAGCATTTTCCTTTAAATAAGGCAAGAACATTGATTATTCATTTACATATCAATACTTTTAAACAGAGTCTATGGAAATCAGTAAAAGTAAAAAGAAATATTTACAGTGATTTTTAAAGGTATGGTAAAAACAAAATAAAAAGTGATATGTTTTTTTCATAAAAAACTGAAAAACTACTAGAAACTACTACTAAAACTACTAAACTACTGCTATTAAAACTACTACTAATTTTTAAAGTTCTAAAAGATCAATATAGGGGCTGGGAAGGTGACTCACTGGCAGAGTGCTTGCGTTGCATGCATGAGGCTCTAGGTTCAATTCCTCATCACTACATAAGCAGAAAAAGCCAGAAGTGGTACTGTGGCTCAAGTGGTAGAGCACTAGCCTTGAGCTGAGGAACTGAGGGACAGTGGGTATCCAGGCCCAGAGTTCAGGCCCCATGACTGACAAAAAAAAAAAGCTCAATATAGCTGGGTTCTGGGTTCTTGCCTGTAATTCTAGCTACTCAGGAGGCTGAGATCTGAGGATAGCAGTTCAAAGCCATCCCAGGCAGGAAAGGCCATGAGACTCCAATTAAAAACCAGAAAACTGGAATTTAAGCTGGAATTCAAAGTAACAGAGCCATAGCCTTGAGCACAAAAGCTCAGGAACAGTGCCCAGACACTGAGTTCAAGATCCAAGACCAATAAAGTCAAACAAACAAAAAAGATCAATATAAATTACATGAATAAAATAAAATAAAAATACATGCCCAAGAATTTTAATAATTATTTCAAGTACAGTCAAATATTTTACTCAAGAGTAAAATAAATATAAAACCTGTATGTGTCCTGTATGAAAAATTTAAATTATATTGAAGATCTTATAAAAGACTAAATATATCTAAGTATATATTCTATTTCTATGAATAGGAAGTAATACATGTTAAAGATAAATTCAAAGTCATTATGATGAGAGTAGTTTCCTGCAGCTTGATAAGACTGATGTTAAATATATATATATAGTTATATATATATATATATAGTTATATATATATATAGTTCCCTGTCCTGTGGCAACTTCTTAAATATTGCAGAAATTTGTCTTTTATTCTTTGACCCTTCTCAGCCTAACAGTGGCTTCCCTTCCAAGTTATCACTTTGCATTCTGTCCTTAGCATTTCTAGAATGTTTAGCAAAACTGCTCCAGGTTGTTTTTGCCAGTTATCTCCTTTATTGTACTAGAAGCTCACTACATAGCTCATCTTTATAAACCCAGAGTATCACATGGTCCCTGGCTCATAGTCAGCAGTTAATAACTATCAGCTTCATCTTTTCTCAGTTGCATTGCCATTATTATCTTTTGTGAGATGAGCTTATTGTTCCCATTAAGTTTCTTAGCACTCAAGACTTTCACTGTGGCCATAAGGTTATTTACTATCCATACTCAACTATCAGCTCAGTTTTCAAGGCATTTCTGGAAATATGTATTTGCTACTATACTTATTTTTCTCTTATATTGAATATAGTCATTATAGAATTTCTCACCTAAGGAACCTGCTCACCCTTCTCTAGAGGACAAACAGGTTCAAAGGAAGATAGCTCATTTAAAGCAATGCATGGCTGCATTTTATGTATTGCACAATTTATATTTCCTGACATTGATAAAATTCAACATTAACATTTTCTCAATGTATGTTATATAATTTTGATAATGAAAGGACCTAGCAAACTGATAATCCAGAAAAGAATGTAGAAGCTAAAAGCATGATCAAGTTTAAAATATAATGTGACATAAATAAAAATTCACTATAACATTTATTTATAATATTCTCTATTTAGCTTTAAAAAAACTCCTGCCTATTTAACACTTATTAGTGAATGAAGGAACATATATATAGGAGAATATTCTAGAAAGTTTCAGCTCATAGTCTTAAAACATAAAAATTAAAACCAATAGTAATAGCAACAACAACAAAAAGAAGCAAAACAAAATCTATATTTATAGGAGCTACACTAAGGCAGTTGTTTATGTTTAGGAAAAGTTATATTTCCTCTTGAATTGAGTTACTTCTTTCATCAAAGAAAGTTATAAATACCATTATTTATGTCCTTTTGGAATCTTACTAGATGAAAAATAATTCTAGTTCTATGCATCTTGGCTAGCAGTTTTACATTTTCTTATGTTGTGAGCAACTTTTCTATTTGCTTTTTTACAATTGCTTTCTCTGTACCTCCATCCCTTCTTGTTTCTTTTTTTTTTTAAGTGGAATTTCTTTTGTCATTACAACCTATTGAAATTTTAATTAATGTCATAGTACTACCAATATTTTCATTGTTGGGTGATGTTCTTGGAGAAAAGTTTTTTTATGAAAACTAAAATAGTAAGCTGAAAAATAATAAATCTTTACTGTTATGGTGTTTTCCAAGGTTTGATTAATAAATAATATAGCACTGCAACACAAGATGTTATTGGCATCTTCATATGTGATAAATCAACTTCAGCCAAAAGAGAAAGTTTAAAAGTTTTAGCAAGCACAGCCTTAATAAACCTAGATGAGTTTGCTATTGAAAATCACCTTGTTAGTCTTCAAATTATGTAATCAAAGGAGTTTTTCAAGAAAAAATGTAATGCTGAATACCATCATAGTTGATCAAACTCATGATAAAATACTTATAAAATACTTATCTGAAGAATAATTGCAATTTGTAGAAAATCTAAATATACAATGGGAATTGATCTCTCTCAACCCACAGGAGCCAGTGGCTTTTCACATCTCACCAGAGTCTATAGAGACATCATCACTGGAGACAAGGCGTATATTTTCATTTTTGGGAGGATTCATGTTTCTTAATGCTTTATGGAAGAATGTGAAAGTTTAGGGACTTTATTAACTTTTAAGAAAGAATCCTTAGTAAACTGAAAATATAATTTAATAAGATTGAATGCCATAAATTATAATTACCTGATGACTAGGTAAAATAAAAAATAGGAGAACTTGAAAACATGGGCCATGAATAGAATGGCATCATTCTATGTATTCATCAGCTTTTTAGTCTGTTTAAAGTATATGCTAAATGTAAATACATATTTAGTTTTAATCTATTTTCTTTATATATTTTGATTGTAAAGATATTGTACAAAGCAGTTACAGTTACATGAGTAAGGTAATGAGTACATTTCCTATTGAGCAGTTACCCACTCCTTTGTTTATCCCCTCCCCTCCCTTCCCTCCCCACCTCCTAACCGCCCCCCATCTGAAGTTGTAAAGTTTGTTTTCAACGTAGTGTACATCAAAAATATGGACCACTTCATGAATTTGCTTGCCATCCTTGAGCAGGGGCCATGCTAATCCTTTTAGTATGTGTGCTGCCAAAGCGAGCACTCATCTATTTTCTTTGTGTCTCCCTACAGGAAAAGAATTGCTCCTGTAACTTATTAATATAACATTGAACCAAAAAAAAGAACATTCCTAAAAAGCCAAATCTTTTTTAGTTGAATGTATAATAAAATTATTTCAATTCAATTTTTTTAGGTATTGTTTGTATAAAGTGGATCAGTAAAGAGAAACATAGCAACCTATTGCAAACATAAACTTCTGCAAAAGAATTTAAAAAGAAAACCAAAACAAAAGAAAGGGCATACTCAGTGAGGAATGCAACTTAATAATGATGTATCTAACGATGGCACTAATGATTTTGGTTGACAGGAGACATTGAGTAGAATGATTCTCTTTCCTCTACCATTCATAGAATTTCAACAGTCAATAATACTTTTAGATGACATGTAAAAATGAAAACAATAAGTTAAAAAATTTAAAAAATAAAATTAATTTTAAAATAAAAAATAATGTAAATTCCACCATTCACATTTACCTTAATTATATTTACCAAAATTCAGTGACAACAGAATTGTATTTTTACTGATCTATGTTGTTTCTTCACAATTTTATTTGAGACAAATGCATGGCGTAGTCATATTATTAATAGTAAATTATAAATTTCTTTTTTAAATTATTTGTGCCAATAGTGGGACTTGAACTCAGGGTCTGGATGCTTTCCCTTAACTTATTCACACTAGGCTGGTGCAACACCCCTTGAACTATAGCTCTACTTATGGTTCTTTTGGGAGGTTAATTGGAGATAAGAGTCTCACAAACAAGCTGCCAATACAACCATGTTCATGGCAGCATTGTTTACCATACCCAAGATATGGAATTAACCCAAATGCCTTTTAGTGAACAAATGGATCATGAAAGTATATATGTATGCTTTTTCATTTGTCTTTGGAGGAAGAGTAACAGAAATGTTGAGACAAAGGGTAAACAAATGCAGTAGTGATATTCACGAGACACTATATTGAAAATGAACCATGTAACATGTGAGTGGGAATGGCAGGGACAAACTGAGAGAGAGAGCAAGGGAAAGGGTGACATTGTTCAAAAAGGAATGTGTTCTTTATCTGACATATGCGAATGTAGCCCCTTTGCACATCACCTTTACAATAACAATAAAAGCAAATTAAAAAAAAAAAAAGACAGAACATATAAAAGAGTCTCACAGATATTCCTGACTGGATATTCCTGAAATGGATCTCAGCCCTCTTAGTAGCTAGGATGACAAGCATGAGCCACAGGCTCCTAACTATATGTTTTCTTTAACAGTTAATTTGATTATGTCATAGATTTCTTGAGACTTAAAGGTGTTAAGTCACACATTAAATCTCACAAAAAGTACATCCTTTTAGACTTATTAAATGTACTAAAGGAGGTTCATAATGATCAAGATGCAGTGTATTCATAAACTGTTTTGTTAAGTAACAACTCCTTTGTACAGACTAGGCCAGCCTAGTCTGCTGGCCAAAATCCCTGAAACTGCTTGGTATACCTACTTGAAAAATATATAAAAAAGCACTTAAATATGCTCTGAATCAAAGGATTTATCCTTTCCTACCAGCATGTCCCCCAGGTGTGGCATTCCTCCCCTTTCCTTGGCATGCTAACCACCTGCCAGCAGAACTAGAACATAGATGTATGCCAAACTGCTGCCAGTTCTTGTTTATTGTTTACTCTTTCCTCCTACTCTTCCCATTTTCCTGAAATGTCTTATAATTTTCTCACATGTTCTGGAACAGACACCAGCTTGAAGAAGCTACTGTGCAATTGTTTTGAAAAATGAATCTGCCCTGTTTGAATTAGCTTTTAAAAGTGTTTCTTTAGAAAAAAAAAAAAAAAAAACAAGGAAGAAAGTTGACCTAATTGAAGTTGCAAAGAGCAGAATCTGGTTTAGATTGTTGGACAAATCATTTCAGTATAAATGGGGCACTGATGATGGAGTTATGCCTGAGCCAGACTTGTGGCTTCTTGAATTTTCTTTTAGTTTTCTGTTCTAGCCACAGAAGTAATACACAAGCTTAAAGAGGTCTCTCTAAGGGTGTGGTGCAAAGACTTTGAGTCCTTTGCTCTAGAAGGACACATGAACAGATAAGCTTCTATTTAGAGTCATTAGAATAAGTAGCTAATTAAAGGCTTCTTGGCACCTAAGTGTTGGGAACAGGCTGAAAGGGTTCTGCTGTCCACAAGCCTGAAGTCCTGCCAACATGAACAGTCCACACAATATTTGATGTGAGGAAAGTGGTCACATTGAATTTTAGTTTTTAGATCTGGAAAGTATAACTTGATATTTAGCAAGAATGAATAGCAATATTTCATCTACCCTTAGTGAGTGTTGTATATATCTAGCTTTTAAATTTTCATCCAGTCTTGCTCTAACTTGTGTTGTTAGTTCAGTAATATTTTAAAAGCTTGGAATTTGATAGCAATTTTAATTCATACATGATATCAGCATTTATACTTTAGGAGAAAAATACCAACCTCTAGCCTTAAATTCAAGACTCTTGACATGGTTTTCCTTTTAGTGACATCAGATACACTATGCTGCAAATAGTCAATAGTCTTCTTAGAGTAGCTGACTACCTGTACCATATATTATGATTCTAGAAGAGCCATAAAACTTTAAGTTTACTAATTTGACTCTGATTCTAAATGCAAATTTATGGGCCAAGGTAAAGAGCCAAATCATAAATGGAAGGTTCTTCCTTGGATATCCCATTGTGATGATTTAATGATCCATTGAGTTCACTTCTGCAGACCCTATATTTGCCCTGTCGCAGTGGCTTGGCACCTGCTCCAGAGCTAGGCCATATCTGTCCTATACCTAATGACAGAGAGTGGGCCTGACAGTAAGAAAAAGAGCAATAGAAAAAGAATCACCTCCCTTCTCTTTCATATGCTACACTTGAACTAACGTTAATATTTTCAGTTAGTTTCTCCACAAAGGATCAAAAATTTCATGATGGAAAGTGATCTTTTCAAAGAAACCTAGATCTAGAAAGGAAACTTCCATGAGAAGTAAAACGAGAGGAGACACAATTTCTGCCAGGGATTGCGGGGCGGGAGTGGGGGGTGGGGAGTGGTGAGACCCCTGTTACTCCTGAAATCCCTCCTCTCCCCCAAAGAAACCTAGAGAAATGATGAGTCATCCTAAGTACAAACTGGTGCACAACAGTTAGGGTGGCATAAGTATTTTCTTCACAAATTCATTGGAAACATTAATTTGCCAGGTGATAGTATTAAGAGGAGGGTTTTGAAAGGTGATCAGAGCAGGATTAGTGCTCTTAGAAAAGAAAGCACACTTGGGGTTCATTTCGCCTAACATCATCTTATCTGACCTTTTCTGCTTGTTTCAGACATATACTAGATATTGAAGTAAGGGAAACCACAGGACCTGTATTTCTTTGGGCCTGGTTTACTTCACTTAATATAATTTTTTCCAAGTCTTTTCATTTCCTAACAAATGGGGCAATGTTAGAGAGGTTGAGCATTTCTTCATGTGTCTATTGGCCATCCTTCTTTCCTCTTCAGAGAAGTTTCTCTGTAAGTCTTTAGCCCACTTGCGCAGTTGTTTCTTTGAGGATTTGTTGTTGGGGGATTTAATTTTTTGTTTCAGGTATATTTTAGATATGAGACCCTGGTCTGTTGTATGGCTAATGAAGATCTTCTCCCAATCCATGGGTTTTCTATTGATCTTGCTAGCTATGTCCTTTGCCATGCAGAAGCTGTTTTTTTTTTTCTTTCTTGTTATTGTTTCTAATGTATTTATAAGGTGATTTTTTTTTGTTGCTTTGTATGTCCCTCCCCCACAGTATAACCTCTGTTTTCACTGTATTTGATGTTGGTATAATTTGTGGAGGGGAAGGAAAAAAACAAATTGTTTAAATGTCATGTCAAAACCAGCTTTACAATGTCGGTGTGGGGGGGGGAAGGGGGGTATGATTGGGTGGGGGGGAGGGGGGAGGCTGGGAAGGGAGGTGAAGGGTAAACAAAGGAGGAGGCTGCAATGCTTGGTAAGAAATGTATGCATTATCCTGCCCATGTAATTGTAACCCCTCTGTACAGTATGTTCTCAAATAAAATAAAATAAAATTAAAAAAAAAAAGAAAATGTAAATTACTTATGGTAAAAGACACAAGAGAGGTGTCTTGGGTATCAATGAATAAAATTCCATTTCTGATGTTGGCCCAAAAATAAATAAATAAATAAATAGGGATACAGGTGGACCCATTGCAACAATGAGATGTACAAGATGTGATGTCAAAAATTGAACTTTACAACTTTGCAGGGTGGGAGGGGTGGGGGGATGGAGTGTAGTCGTGGAGATAGAAGGGCAGAAATGGTAGGGGAAAAACAAAGGAGGCAACAATGCTTGATAAGAAATGTACTCATTACCTTGCTCATGTAATTGTAACCCCTCTGCACGGTATTTTCACAATAAAAAACTTATTTTAAAAAAAAGAAAATTTGAGTCTATGAGTATTCAAAGTTGTCACATATAAGCATTGTAAAAAAAAAAAAAAAAGCCTGTAATCCTAACTACTCAGGAGGCTGAGATCTGAGGATCACAGTTCAAAGCCAACCAGGGCAGGAAAGTCTGTGAGATGTTTATCTCCAATAAACCACTAGAAAACCAAAAGTGGCGCTGTGGCTCAAGCAGTAGAGCTCTTGTCCTATGCAAAATAAATTTCTGCTGGCTAGAAGCCACTCTGATTGGTTATAGCACCTTAAAAATATGAAGATAGTACTGTAGGGAAAAAAGTTTCCAGAGAAGTAACTTATAGCTTTGGTGTGGAGCTATTCTGTTCTATTGAGTGATAGCAGAAGATGTCTCTATCAGACACTGTCACTTGATGTATTTCTGATGGTGGAATGCCTAGCACTATTATTGTCTTTCTTGAAGGAACATCAAGTTGGTGATGGCAACATGTACAAAAAGGACAGACTAACTGCCAACATATTTATAGAAACAAGTGGCAGAAGGCAAATATTGCTGCATGGGACCAATAATATCATGTGAATAGCCCAAATGCAATGATTAGATAGGTTGCCAGGGTAAAAATATAGCAATAAAATCACACTTCAATACAGAGATATTGGTTAGTGACAAGGTAAATGAGAGCTGGATAGCACCCCACCCCATCCCAACCGGATACACACCCCTTTGCAAATAGAAAACACTAAGTACTAGGTCTCAAGTACTTATTATAATGATAATTATCTGCAAAAAATTGTTGTCTTACATATGCTTTCTTGCCCACAGACATTTAACTTACTTGTTCAACATAGGTGGCTTCAGCAATATATGAGTTACTTCATTTTTTTTGGGGGGGGTCCGGTCATGGGACCTGAACTCTGGGCCTGGGCGCTGTCCCTCAGCTCTTCAGCTCAAGGCTAGCGCTCTACCACTTGAGCCACAGCGCCACTTCCGGCTTTTTTCTTTTTGCTTATGTGGTGCTGAGGAATCTAACCCAGGGCCTTAGGCATGCAAGGCAAGCTCTCTACCACTGAGCCACCTTCCCAGCCCCTTAATTTTTTAAAGAAAGAGATAGCCCATTTTGATTAAGTTCATAGACTCTTGAATCTGAGACCTATGAATTCAAATAAACAATTGTTAGGACTAAGGGTAGAACTCAGTGGTACAATTATATATTATTGTTTAACATCTTGTCTTTTTTAATGATTGAGAAAAGTAGTGGTTATAGCAATGATATCAATGTCACATAAAATGTCAGAATTCAAGTCCTAATATGCATAAGAGGCTTATCATAAAAAATGTAAGCTCATATACCAACAGTGTAGAGGCTTATCATAAAAAATGTAAGCTCATATACCAACAGTGTAATAGACTTTCTTTCT